GCTTTCATCGATAAAGTAAATCAGGTGCTCGACTTTCAATATATATATCTGTAAAAAACGGGCGAGAGCAGCGACCCGTGAAAAATAACTAAAACCAAAAGAATAACTTTCTGATAAAAATAAACTAATTACAGCGTGTAATTGAATCCGTATAAATTTTTGCGTCTTCACTCGATTAGTTTCGCTCCCATCCACTCGATTCGTTATTGATTAACACCAATACATCAACTAAAATTAAATTAACTCGGTGTCTAGTTCGTGCTCTCGAATCAACTGAATCCGCTGGAAGAAACTTTTCTCATTATTTACCAAAAAACTCATCAATTAACGACCAATGATTGATTTATTTATTTATTTGCGCCTGTTAAAATTTTTTCAGTCAACTGCAATTTTTTTTCACTCGAAATCACTTCCATGCATCGCGTAGTCACCGTGACCCCAACTGATTTCGGACATACTCGTTGCAGGGGATGCTGGAAGTGATTGGACTCGCCTTTGCATGGTGATTGGATCAGGTCTGCGTGATTCTATTCTCCTGGTGTCTCCGAAGGATTCGGCAGTTGCTCCTCGTACGGAATTTTCTCCCTTTTTTTGAGCCTGGTCGAGATTCGAAGGAACCGGAGTCGGCAATCTGGCAAATCTTTCGGCTATTTTGTTGGCTCGGTCCATTTCGTCTCCAGCTGGGAGAAAATACTGTCCGCGAAACCGTCGTAGAATTCCGTACTCCACGCCACGTTTTAGAACAGAATTAACCTGATTTTTTTTTATTAAATACATTATTATGATTCATTTTTTGTTTTTAATGCACTAAAAAATTGGAAGTGAATTTTGGAGTTTTTTTTTTCAGAAAGATTAGTTTGTTTTTAAGTTTTTTTGATAGATTTTAACATAAAAAGTGAAAAATGATAAAATATTATCATTATTATGTTTAATTAAATAGTATTAATTATTTCAATATTACTAAAATTAACTTTTGTATGAAAAATTCTAGAATTTTTTATTAAATAAATTATTATAGAAAGAATTTATTGAAAAATTGCAATTTTTTATAAATATTTAAATTAAATTATTTGATTAAACTCAGGAAAAATTAACATCAATTTTTTCAAATTTGTTAATAAACATTTTATAATTTTTAAACGATTAGTAACTATTTTTTTAATTTTATCGGATTAATTAAATAAAATAAAGATTTTCCGCAGCAAGGAAACTCCGCATTCACTTCGCAAATTTATTATTAGTGTAAAAAAAAATAATAAAAATTTTAATATATTACTTGACGTTTAACCCGAGTCTCCGGAAGATTGGAATTGTAACTTATGTATCCCGTGATTTTACTAGGAGTTGATCCTTTTGTCTCTTTGAGCTCTTGGATCGCTGATATTATCAACGCAGCTATTTTCATGGGTTTTGTTTTTTTTGGTTTCTTGTCTACTTTTTTACTCTTTCCTTTTGTTCTTGCCATTATGAATTATTGATTTTTTTTCTTGGAGATATTTTAAGATTTTATTAAATAAAATTGTGTACTGAGAATTTTTTTACTAAGAATTTGACGTTAGATTGTTTTTTGTTTTCTCATTCAACTGACTGAAGTTGAATACATTTGTCAAAATAACATTAACAAAAAAAAAAAAACATTTTTTTATTTTTATTTTGTTATTAATTATTTAATTTCTTGAAATTTGTAAAAAAAGTCTTCTATTTTCAATTAAATTTTCTGTATATTTCATCGATTGTTTCAATAACGCAATTAAATAAATTTAATCACTACTGTTACGTCGTGGCTAAATTAACGTTTTTTATTTTTTTTGTCTTAAAATAATACGAATTTTTATTAATTTTAAAATATATTTTTTTGGAAGTAAAATTTACAGCAGACACTAATAATGAGAAAACTCATTAAGTGTCTCGTCCGGTCTCGCCAAAAAAATACCCGTCATTAGGCCATCTTATCTCTAAGGATTAAAAAGACCCTAAATACACAAGTAAATGGGAGTTTTATTGCCCTCTGTATTGACAGCAGTTTGAACAAGAACCTTAGAGATTTTTAAACGTTAATAGGATTAAATTTAAGAGAACAATAAATTTAAAACTTTTAAAATAAATAATTTTAAATAACTAAAAGAAATGAATATTATCATTCAATAAACAAACTAAATAAATAAATAAGTTAGTAATAATTATAAATAAAATATAAGACTTAGTTAGAAAAACTATGTGTTTGTGTGCATGCAAATGTGCTTACACGTATACCAATACATAGATATATATTAGCCATAAGTAAGAGAGAGAGGCACCTCATGCCTCTGGGCCCAAGGAAGGGAATTCAAGCGAACATCTTTAGAAAACTCGGAAGAGAGGGTAGAATCTAAGGGAAATAGACAGCTAATTGGATACTGTTTTCCCCCAAATAGTAATTTGGAACCGCCCGAAAATTTGAGTCCCAAAAGAACTTCGCATAAACTCTCTCGTCGTCCTGACCCCGAAATGTGCGGATCGCCCAATTAGTTCAAAAAATGTAGTCTCTGGTCATCCTGACCTTGAGGTGCGCGGATCGCCCGATTAGCTCGTGACCGTGGTCACTCTCACGCAGCTAAATAGTTTATCTTAAATTAAAATCAATGTCTTAATTAATAGTTTTTTTTAAAGTAAAATCGTAGTAATATTTTAAATAACTTTTGTCTAAACTTCAGTAAAATTAAATAAATAATTAACCTCGTTAAATAATAAAATATTAC